AGAAGCAGAATTCGCCAGCATTCTAAAATATTTCTTCTGCTTAGGAACAAAATAATTAAGAAAAACAGCGGAGCAAACTTTTTAGCCAGTCAAATTTATGTTAAAATGCCATCCCAAAAAAAGATAACTTTAGAAGTGTCTGAAAATATTTCCATCATTGTTATTAAGCAAATGATTAGTAAAGTATCTAATTATCATCACGAATGTATTCTTATTTTTGAAGGAATGATATTGGAGAATAAGTATATATTGGCAGATTACAATATTAAGCTTGAATCTATATTTGATCTTATTTATATAAATAACGATAATGAAAAAATATCTGGTACAATGCAAATCTTTGCTAAAACATTAACAGGGAAGACTTTGACCCTGGAAGTATCTAATGATGATTTTATTGCTCAAGTTAAAGAAAAAATTCAAGATAAGGAAGGTATTCCCCCTAACCGACAAACCCTTATATTTGCAGGAAAAAAGCTAGAAAATGACTATACCGTAGCAGATTATAATATCCAAAAAGAAAGCACCTTAAATCTTGTACTCAGATTTCGTGGTGGGATGTTTCATGAAACCAGTTGTCGTAGAGATTTTGATGCATTGCCACCACTTACACATTATATGCCAACCCATGAAGAAATTCTACAAAGTGGAGTTCATATTGATATTGCTTGTGATTACTGTGGTAAAAGTGGATGGGAAGGAACAAGGTTTATATACACAAAATTCTTTGCTTTTTTTCTTTCTACAGGAGTAATATCTGTCCATTGGGTTTTAGTATTTACATAATGCCTTTCTCTATTTTTTTTTTACTTCTCTAAAATAGATATAAATGTCAAGAATGCCCTGATTATGATTTGTGTTGTAATTGTATTTCAATGTCTAAATTGCTTCATAATGACCAACATACTTTTATGAAAATTTTGATTCCTTCGAGCTCAAACGATGATTTAAAAAATATCCCTGCTCACTCTGTTACTATCCATCCAATACTACCAACTACAAGAAGAAGAACAACAACGATTGTCACCTGAAATACAGAAACAATATCATAAAGTTGCGAGTGACCCCACACTTGGAATGGATTGGATGGATGTTACTGATAAGATGCAATATGATTTAGTTCGTAAGTTTGGATATTCTGATGAAGCTGTACAATTATTACACCGTGCTCCACAAATTTACAAAGGTATGGTTTTGTTCTTTTTGATCATGGCAATAATTATGCTTTGCATTTTGATATACTTAAGATTATTATTATTAATATTTTAGACGATCCTACATTTCAAACCACTCAACTATATGTTCGTAACAATATTGCTAATTTAGGAAATCTAACCGAAGGAATGATGGCTCCAAATTGTCAATTAGTCCCTCTTGAGCCTACAACAGAAATCAGTAATACTAATGTATTGACTACGATCTCTTTACATTCACTTTATCAATCAGTGAAACCTCTTGTTCTTCTTGGAAGATCATATACTTGTCCTTTGTTTCGATACATATCTCACGTACTTAATGATATTTATAAACGATATAAAGCACAGGTAGATTTCTATACGATTCAAATTCGGGAAGCACATGCCAGTGACGTTTGGCCAATTGGTAATGTTGTAGATGTTAAAGAACATTGCACATTAACCGATCGTTTAATTGCTGCTCGTGAAATGATTAAAAATACTGAATTAGAGATTTCTGTGTTAGCAGATTCTATGGATGACACTTTCTTAAAATTATATTCACCATGGCCTTTTCGTTTTTTCGTCATTGTAGATGGTATTCTAAAACTTGGTGGAATGCCTAAGGAAGCACATTATAATACTACAGATTTAGTTGAATGTTTAGATAGTCTTTTGAATGGCAATAAGAATAAGAGAAGAAAATTAGATACTTGTTAGAATTACACTTTTAAGTTTTCGATTTATTTTTACCTGTATTTGATATTATTTCTTATTCTCTCAAATTATCTTTGCGCCGGTCAAATAAGTAACATAATTTATACTGTATTACACATTATTGATGAGAATTTTTATTTGCACACTATGTGTATATACACGGATATTGTTATTTACCAAAATTTTTATTAATAAAGCTACCTTTGGTATTCTAACAAAAAAGATACCTTGCAAAATTTTATTATAAACTATGCTTTTCTCTAAGCTTTAAAACTAACCTTATTTTAATATTAAACGGGTTAACTTTGTTAAATTTGTATGTTATTAGGGATGGTAAAAAAACAGTTTAAACATTTTTTCACATGTGATAATTAAAGTTTGAATACTGATTCAAATAATGCTCACCTGTTTTTTTTAATTTATTTTCACCTGTTTTTAATTATGTAATAAAAAACATTTGCCTTCCCTATGTTATTCATCGCTGATGCTGAAATACGGGCCTATTTTGTTATGAATTTTTAAAAATTTTTGGGTGTTTTTAACGGTTTTTTTTTTAGAGTTGGGTTAGGATTTAGGGATGGAATTGATAATTAAGGAGTATACTGTATGTGGATTCTAGCAGGGCTTATATTTTCAAATCGAGGCCCTAGATTTCAGAATCAGCCGCGACAATTAATACCCATGTACAGTACGTACGTACGTACATACACTACGTGTAAACCAAGAAATTTTCTTATTAGAATTATACATATATATTTTGATATATGGCAATGAATTAATATCTCAATAGGGATGCTATCCTGCTTGCCCAAACTCAGTTCGACCCTGTTTGGAACCGAACCCAATGGGACTCGAGTTTTGTTGATCACATGATTTTCATTATTATGCTCCAAACGAGTTGAAATAGATCAAATGAGCAATGCTTGATTAGTAATAAACTTTGGACTTTTAATTACTATCGTTATGATCAGTATTGGGCAAATTAGTGGTCAACCAAAAATTTGCTAGTCAAATTGGTCTGGTCAAATTGGTCAATTGGTCAAACTGGTCCAATTGGTCAAGTTTATTATATAAATATAATATATATATTGTATTATACAGTATAATAAATCATATTTAAATATTCTATTTGACCAATTTGACCAGTACAGATCCTTTGACTAGACCAATCAAATTGGTCAAATTGGTCTGGTCCAATGGTCAAACTGGTCTGGTCAAGTCAACACTGGTTATGACGAACAAAAATTACTGGAGCTGCTTGAGAACATCCTAAATCATTTTAGTATCTTAAATGGAGGATCCTTGCAACCTTAAACTAATAATTTGTTAAATTTATAAATATTTAATGATCTTTATACAAAAATGATTAAATTGTATTAATGAAATTTGTTTAAATACTCATGAAGGAGCCTTTCTCAGGTTAGTTATCAAGAAATTCAGGAATTTGCACTGACAATTGAATATAATTTATTTAATTCAAAGTTGACACATACTTGATCAAGTTAACTAATTAGTATAATAGCTATAATTCTTTTTTACGATTAATTAATGGATAGAATTTTGTTTTTTGTACTACTGGTAGTACAGTTAGAAAAATAGTTTAAAAATTTAAAAAATTATATATCTAAATAATTTGTTTATACAAAAATCTGATAAATACCATAGTATAATTTGGCCAAATTTTTTTTAATATTAATAATAAAGTTTTTGAAAAAAAATTTTTTTTAACTGTTATTTTTGTATCTTTTAGTGTACTACATGTAGTACACTACTGATACTACTTTTATTAAAAAAATTTTTAATAAAATTAGTAAATTTAAAATTTAATTATATAAAAAATATTTAAAACTTATTATATTTAAAAGTTGAGTATTGATTATATTAAAAAAATATTACTTTTACTATAAAGATTTTGAGCTGTTAGTCAAAAATCATTACTATTTTTAGTAGTTCATATAAGTTCTTTAGTTTTTAATCATAATTTAAAAAAAATTTTATTAAATAAATTTTATTTGAAGTTATAAATAGAGTTGTTAAAAACAAACTTTTAATTCTAAATTTATGAAGTTTATTAAAATTTAGCTAATATTTTAAAAGTAATTTATATTTAAAATTTTAAAAAATTAAACGTAATTTTTAATATAAAATTTACCAATAAAAAAGCTAAAAAAAACCAATTTTTAAAAAATTCTATAAAATTTAAAAAAGTACTTAGAGCTACTAAATTTTTTATATGTGTTGCCCCATCTATAAGATACTTTATATAAATATTTAATAGCTTATTAATTTGTTAAATTTGTAGATAATTAGCTTTTTATAGTGTCACAATTGAGTACAAAGTACTACCGGTAGTACAGCGAAATCCTATCATTAACATTAAATCAACTCAACGCGTTTTAATCGCAGATAGTCAGTTTATCATTTTCTTCAGTTTATTGGATGAGCTTAATTGTATAACCTAGTGGACCCAACTTGATGAGTTGCATTTTCATTTTGCTTTTTTTTTAATATTAGATGATATCTTTATATAGCAGCATCAGGAATCTAAATCTTCACAAGGTATTAAGAACCCATATGGTTAAATGACTTGTCGGTTAAATGACTGTAGGTTAAGTGATTTCCATCGTTCCCGGACATATCTGATATCATTTACTCGACATCATACTGGATGACAATTTCTAAAAATATGCACCACAACTAATAAAATGCTAAATTGTCACGCTTTGTGATGTAGCATTTTGTATCATAAATAAACAGGAGGAAACGTTGATACGTCACAAAATCGTTACACAATTGATAAAAAATTTTTTTATATTATTTTACAAT